CCCCCCCCCCCCCCGGGTTGAATATGTCGATGGGAAATCATAGTAAGGCCAATCTCACCTAAGACATACAAAAAGCCAAAATCCAATTCAAAGCCTGCGAATCCCAACTAAGCAAGACTAAGTAAAAGAAGAGTTGAAGAAACTAAAATCTTTATCATGTTGTTAGTCATTTTCAATATTAGGTATTGAATAATAATATCACTTCATGCATACTAATTTTCTTATTTTTATGATCTATTTACTTTGATATCTTTTTTTTTTTCTTTTTTCAATTTTTACTTTTCCTCAACTCTAATAGTATCATTCCCAACAAAATATTCTATTTCTCCATTTTTGTATAAACTAATACTACCTTCTTCTATATTCTTCTATATTTTTGGGGTTCGCTTGACAGGACTCTACATTTACTTCTCTTTGTAAAAGATCTTTATGATGAAACTATTTTAGACGGATCAACGTTCTCTAAAATCTCTTATTGTCAAACAAAACACTTTAAAACCATTTACACATGTTAAGAAGCAATTTCTGATTTCAAATTTTGTTTTTAATTTTTGAAAAGCCTAGCCAAACGAACCCTCAATAGCATAATTACGGTGCAAAACATATTTGTGCAATTTTTATTTATTTTTCATTTACAGAATAAGGAACCGCGTGAATTTTATATAATGGCCCTTGGAAGACACCACCTTTAACAAAATTCATTGGTCACTGTTCATCCAATAAACAAACAATTTATATATTTATAAACAGATCTACGTAGTGAAATAGTTAAATATTTTAATTGCTTATTAATATTCATCCACTTAAAGATTATGTTTATGTTTGGCCTTCATTTAAAAAAAAAAAAATTTCAAATTCATTTTCAATCACAAAAATCTCATAAAATAATTTTACACGCAAATTCAAAATTTATCTTTATTTTTTAACCGAATATTTTTCAATAAATCACTATTTCAAAATATATTATCCCAACAGACTCAAATAGGGGTATATAACTGTATTTTTACATTTGACCCTTGTTTGACCACCATTACTCAAAAACTCATTTTTCGTTATACTCATTTTTAATCATACATTCATTCAATAAATTTTTTTTTAAAAAAATTATTTTTTAAACATACATTCTCTTAAAAATCACTATTCAAAATGAATAATGTTATTTCTACATAACGCAATTATATAATATTTTACGTATAAAAAAAGAGTATAGAAGTTTTTTGAGTTAATTATCCAAATAGTCATTGAACTTTGTCAAAAGTTTTCAGGAAGTTACTGAACTTCAAAACTTTCTTAAATAATCACTAAACTTTGTCAAAAACTCATAGGAGGTCATCGAATTTCAAAACTTCTTTAAATAGTTACTGAACTTTGCAGCGAGTTCCTAGGAGGTCACTCAACTTTGCATATTGAGACCCCATACATCACTGATTTAGTAATTCAGTAGCTTTTTGCAAAATTTAATGACTATTTAAGGAATTAACTTGAATTTATTTTTTTTATTGACAAAATTAAATCATATTTTATCACATAGTATATATGTAAATTATTATGTGGATTCAAAATAATCGATTCAATATATTAATTTTCTCTAATTGTTGGAAGGAAAGTGAAGCACCGCGACGTGCATGTCTAATCAAACACTGACATGGTTAGCGTTGACCTCTGTAGCAGGACAGAAATCGTACGAAAAGTCGTCCTTTGACTAGTGAATATTAAAAAGTAATTATGGAAACAAGTTGATTGGCACACATTTCACCTCAGTAAAGCTGCTCTATACCTATGTAGCCCTGCCACCACCTTAATTTTTCCATTTACTAAATCATTTCCAAAAATTGCTGTCCATCCATTACTTTACTTTTGGTTTAGGGTTTAGCGATTCATTTCAATTTCACGGAACGGTCCAATTCAATTTTCAAAATATTAATAATAATAATAATAAAATCTCTTCTCTAACATGTAAAAAAATACATTTTAGAATAGTAACTTGATGGGAAGTGTGTGATTGAAAAATAAGAAAAAAATTTGATTTACGTGTAATATTATTTTAATAAAGAATGTATGATTGAAAAGAAAAGAGAGAAAAATGTATTTTGAAAAAAATGGGTACCAAACGGGAGTTATATTTAATTGCTAGGTAAATTCTCTCGTATGAAATGTGCACTATACATTATTCGCTTAGCCTCTATTTAGCTCCTAT